GTTCCCCTCCGACCTGAGAGTCCAAACCACAAGCAATCTGGTATAATGATTATGAGACTCAGCAGATCACACATCCCCCCAGTCACCCAGTTGGAATTTATTTTCCCTAGGCTTAAAGCTTAGCAAGATGCTGCTATGATCTCCTGCAGCAACCAAGATTCTTCATAATTAGGATGCTGGGTGTGGCAGGTGGTCACCACCTCACCTTCCAGGAGCCACGGGCCCGTTAGCCCCTGAGCAGAGTGCCCACCTGCACAGTCCCTTCCTGGGACTCTGCTGTCAGTGCATCACCCCGGAATCTGGGCTGAGACGATGCTGTCTGGAGAGGTGACCCTGGGGAGCGAGGGCAAGAACAGAGCCAGACAGAGGTAGCAAAGGCTGGTAGATTGTGTGCTGCAGTCAAGGACGTCCCAGCTCTGGGCCCGGGCTCCACCCCCCTGGACCTGCTGAGAAGCAAGAAGAATGACCCTCAGAATTCTCCCCCATCCACCCCGACCTACAGCACCGGTGGGGGTGACAGAGAGGCCCCAACGCCCCCTGCACTTCAGGGATGCATGGTTCCATGTGAGTCAGCTGTTGCCACCATGATGCAAAGTAACAGCCTGCCCTAGTGCAGCATCTTAGATAGCAGACATTTATTGTCACTCCTTGGGGGAGAGAGGGCAGCGGGGGTGGGGACAGGCTGTGTGTAGGGTGGAGCAGGCAGAATCCTGGAAACCCCAGTGAGGACCTGGAGGAGAGCACGCGGGGGACGCCTGGCCTGGTCAGTGCAGCGTCAGAAGGAATGGCTGTGCGGGCACCACGGGGACATCTCCTGGACAGACGCGGGCCCTGCACGGGTTCAGCAGAGCTGGGAGGTCACTGTGAGGGTGTTACTGCCTCGGCTGTTGTGTTGAAAATTGAGAAGGTCAGAGACAGGTACTGTCTGCATCTAAATGAAGAGGGTGTGGAAGTAACTTCAGAGCCAGCCCCACGACCACGGCCCCTGTTAACACAGCTAATAGCTGGATTAGTTGAGGCTGCACATTCCTCTCCTCATTATTTCTACTTAGAAAATGCAACGGCCAGACTTTGCCTGCCTTCCGTTCACCCTATCTCCTCCTTCGGATCACTCACTCAGACCTCGTCCTGGGTTCTTTTGTGAGGATTTTCTACCTATCTGCACAGCAGTCATAATGAAAATAATGCGTTTTGATAGTATCTTTAATATTTATTCTCTCTGCCTATTAAAGAGGAATCTCAATATGCCTTATCTTTTTCATATTAAGCCCTGTGTATATAAAACTTGAACTTGGGGTGGTTTTTTAAGTCCATTTGAAAAATCACCTTGCAATTCTACTAAAATAACGTGATAGCACATATTCATATGTAATGTGATTGGTTTTGAATGGAAGCTGTTCTACAAAGAAGCTGGAGGACGGCTGGTTGTTCTGGGTTGTGTAAGAATGTGGTCGTATAATAGGTTTTGAAACCAACCTATGATAGTCGCCTTTGACAGATGACAGCTTATGTGCAGGTGTACGAAGAGACGAGGAGCCACGGCGACACTTGCCTCATCTCACTTTCTCTTGAGGGAAATTTGCAGAATTTTCTGCCTATTAGCTTCCATCTTCTGTACAATAAGCCCAGGCAGACAGAATATACAACAGGGAGACGGATTTCTAGTCTGGGATGACTGCGAAGAACTGGCTCCTCTCATGCCGGTTTTTGTTGTCAGTGTGTTTGTTTCTGTCCTCTCTTAAGACTCTGCTGGTCTTTACGGAAGGTGCAAAGTGGAATAATTCACCATCCCACGCCCAACAGACGTACGCTTTAGTGATGGGCGAGGACTGCATCCTTGACCTTTATTTCACATTTCTGGAAGCTGCTCATTTTTCTCCTTCCTCTAGAAGACTCAGGGACCAGGTTTCACCCACCCCTTCCCTCTGCTTCTCCATTGTCGCCCTGCCTACGTGGGGCTTACGGACGTCTGTGTTGGTGTCATTGAATTTAAAGAGCGATGTGGGGAGAAGAAGCATCGTTCACAGTGCTGAGTCCTCCTGTTTGTAACAGTCAGGGTTCAACAAGAGAAGCAGAACCAGTAGAAAGTGATCGTTAAGGGACTTGTGCAAGGAATCAGCTTACATGACTGTGGGGACCGGACGGGCAAGTCCAGGATGGGCAGGCTGGAGCTCTGGGCACAGGCTGGAGCCACTCTGCACAGGTGGCATTTCTTCTTCCTCAGAGAAGTCTCACTGCTGCTCTTAAGGCCTTTGAACTGGTTGGACCCGAGCCGCCCAGACTGTCCAGCAGAATCGCCCTCACAAGTCAGCTGATGTTGACTTTGATCCTGTCTGTAAACACCTTCATGGCAACACCTGGATCAGTGTTTGATGTAATAGCTGTCACCATATTCTAGTCAAGTCAACACACAAAACTAACCATCACTGTTCACCGTTTGTCAACTTGGCGCCCATTCGCATCTCCTTAAACCAACTCAATCTCCTAATAAAGACAGTAACAAAGGCACACTTTCACCTAATGTGACACAACTATCCTTTGTGTAGCCACAAAGATGTTAACCCTTCCGCCAGAAGAGGACACAGAGTCCTCAGTGATGTTCACTCTTCTCCTTTGATGCCCTGCAATTTAAATAGTAAGATCTAAAATTGACTGCTATGAACACATCTACCTTAGATGACAATGGAATAAGAAGGGGAGGAAAACAAATATGTTAGCTCAATTTATTATCTACCTATCGCCTATCTATCTATATCCATCAGTCTATGTACACACACACAGACAGACATTGATGACAAAATAAGGAACAAACACTCATGATGATTACAGTCACTGTAACTAGGTCACCTGGCCATGGCTGGCACTCTAACCAGACTCTTCCACCTCCCAGTCTGTGTTCCCTTTGCCCCAGCAAGCACCTCAGCTAACTGTGGTCTTTGCTTGATGGGGTGACCCAAACCTTCATTCCTGAAGGCTCTGGGTCATTGTTAGTCCTGCCTGGATTGGATTGTAGTTTTCCATTGACCTTAACCACAGGGCATGGTGATACTATGAGATGCCCTAAGGATCTCCTGTGTTCCAGACATGCTCTTCCTTACTCCACTGTGGAGGAGCAGTCGGATTTCCCCTTGGTAGTCAGGATCAGCCACCCAGCCAGTGCTGTAACTCTCTTCTTCACCTATTGATCCAGAGGCATGAGGAGCCCAAAGTGGCCAGGAGGTTGTCTCCAGTTCCAGTTCAATGGACTCATTGTCGTGTCTCCTGGTGGAAGCCTTCCTCCCTCTGGAACTAAGACTTCTAGACTAACAGAGTATAAGTTGCAGGAACAGAAGAAAAAGATGGGCTGGTGAGTTGCTAGTGAACCACAGCCATTTCTACCCCTTGATTCTGGACCTGCGGATCCTGGCTGTGGGAGAAACAGCACCATATACTAGATGCTGACTCAGAGCATGAACCGCCTCCTGGAGAAGCTTGCTCCAGCCCTGAAAGGTCTTGCCACCCAGCTAGTACTATAACTGAGTCTTCAAAAGGTCATTCCACCATTCTATCAAGCTGGCTGATTCAGGAGGGTGAGGAACATGGTGAGACCAGTGAATTCCATGAGCGTGGGCCCACTGCCACACTTCTTTTGCTGTGAAGTGAGTCCCTTGATTAGAAGCAATGCTGTGTGGAAAACTATGTGGTGGACAAGCCATTCTGGAAGCCCATGGATGATAGTTTTTGTGAAGTATTGTGTCCATGGAAGGCAAATCTTTATCCAGAATCTGTTCCAGGAAGGACAGAATGCTGTCCTTCCATGATGGAAGCCCCCCAGTGTAATAGACCAGCCACCAGGTAGCTGCCTGATCTCCAGGGAGGGGTACCATAGTGGGGACTCAGTGTTCGTCTCTTGGCAGATTGGGCACCCAGCAGTGGCCATAGCCAAGTTAGCCTTGGCGAGTAGAAGTGCGTGTTGCTGAGCCCATGGTGTGCTTCTCGAAGTTCTGCCCACTGGGAGGACTTCCCTTCATCACATCCTTCGGGGATGTCCCAGAGAGGCACTATTCGCTCCAACTGTCCACCCTCAGGTGGTGCCTGCATATCCTGCAGAACCACCCGTCAACCAGGCTGAGTCTTCTCTTCCTCTGACGACTGATCACAGAGAACTCCCCATGAGGCCATCGTGCAGGGTGGGAGAGAGGAGTGTAGCAGGAATGGGGGCCATGGGCATTTGGGCCACTTCTTCATGTGACTTTACTTGAACCCTCAGGACCCACTTGAGCCTGACCTCATACATTGCACTTCCATTGATGATGGAGTGCTGCTGGCACACCCAACTTTGTGGGTTGGTGGGTCAGGTAATACCCAGTTCATAATGGGCAGCCCAGGCTGTATGGTAACTTGGTGGTCTGTGGTCAAGCGTTCAGTCTCTTCTAACGCCCAGTAGCAGGCCGACTTGATGAATCAAAAAGATGAGCACACTGTTCACGAGTATGGCATATCTCTCCACTTACATATGTAAGGTCTTATGTTAGGTCCATCACTAAAGTTTTATAATTTTCTCCACTACGTCTTAAACATCTTTTCAGAAACATTCTCAGGCATCTTATATTTTTCTTGTTATTATAAATGGCTATTTTTCTTTTTTTACTATAGTTAACCATTTGGCATATAGAAACATGATCCATGCTGGTATATTGATTATATACCCTGCCTCTTTGTGACATCTTATCATTTCTGATAAATTGACTGTGTTATTGGTTTTGCACTTTCCTTTGTCTATGAATTGTGACAATTCTCTGTCACCCTCCTGTTTCTTAGACACCTCACTCCCTTTCCTGTCTTGTTGTGCTGTCTGGGACAGTGGGAGCTGTCACAGTGGACATCCTGTAGTTTTCTAATGCTTCTGACCTTCCCCATTAACACTGGGTTTGCTCTGGGGTTTGTAACATTCTAGGTTACGATTTCCCAAAGGGCTATAACAAGTGTGTTAACCCGAATTCTTGGTTTTCCTCCGACAGATAACTGTGACAAGCCACTCGTGTCTGCCCTGCCCCCATCATCCTTCAGCAGCTCCTCGGAGCTGTCCAGCAGCCACAGTCCTGGGTTCGCAAGACTTAACCGAAGAGACGGTAAGTCAACTTCCTACCTTGCATTGATCTGTGGTGGGCTCCTTGATTTTCAACAATTCTTGTATTTCTTTTGATAAAACATTACAAGTGAATTATCTATTGCACAGAAAATAAAATTCCAAACAAATATTTAAATAGATTTACAGGCATGCTTCCATGTGACATTTCTGGTGTGTGGATATCGTCTGTTGATCGCCAAGAATGGCAAAGCTGGTTTCTCTCTTGCACGTTGGGGCCATGGAGGGCATGATAGCTGAAATGGCTGTGAACTACACTCATGTACAATCATTTCACCATGAAAACATTTAAACACCTTTGAATTTACCAAGTTATTTATCTAGGAAAATATTTTTTTCTACAACAAATATTCAGTTTTATGGGTACCTTAGCCCTGATTATTTAATGATTCATCTGCTTCAAGTTGAACAAAGAAATTGGAAGGTGTATAAGCTTCTTGTTGCTGCTGTAACAGATCCCACTCAAACCTCAGCAGCTAAAACAGCACAAATTTACTGTGTTACAGTTCCGAAGGCCAAAGGACTGGAATGGGTCTCACTGGGCTAAAATCAGGGTGTTGGCGAAGCTGCTTCTTTCTAGAGTCTTCAGCGGAGAATCTGTTGTCTTGCCTTTTCCAGCTTCTAGTAGCCGCTTGCACTGCTGAGCTCATGTCCCTTCCTCCATCTTCAAACCAGCAATGGCACTGGAGTCCTTCTCCCGCTGCCATCTCTCTGACCCTTCTGCCTTCCTCTTTCCGTTTAAAGACCCTCGTGATTACGCTGGGCCTGCCTGGATGATCCCAGATAATCTCAAATCCAGCTGATTATCCAGCTCAATTCCTTCTTGCCCTGTAAGGTGACACAGTCTCAGGCTCCAGGGAGCAGCAAGTGGACATCCCTGGTGGGCCGTTATTCTGCCTACAACAGAGGCTAGAAAGGCATTCTAAAAAGATATTTGCCAATTTTAAAAAAAGAAAAAATATTTGATTTCCTTCCCTTAACATCTGTTGTGGAGGAATGGGAATCAACAGCTACCTTCACAGCTCCTCATGGGCATTCTGTGTGTATCTTTGGAGACTTTGCTCCAGGAGCATGTACCCTGTGCCTACACTTAAGGAGAAGAGCAGAAAATTGCTCTGGTAAAGAAAGAACCACAAAACTTCCAGTCACAGGGAAGACATCCCCCTGAGCCTTCCCATGAAGTGCTGAGGCAAAAGTCTGCGCATAAATTCCAGGGAAACATGCAGAAAATTCCTATAGAAACCGCAGCTACGCAAAGAAGACATGGAATCGTAGACTTTGCTCTTCACCCCCCACCTTTTAAGTCACTTTCTCGGCACTTTTTTTTTAAGCTTCTTGTCCTTAGTGCTCAACATTTGACCATTTTATTACGGTGAACATTTGTGACATAATGAAACGTAATTCCCATACAGTTTCTTAGGTATTTTAGATTTTCATCATAGATAGATGGACAGATAGACATTCTTACCATAGCGTTTATTCCAAAATAGAGGTTTGAAAACTTTCTGCCACTTTTATATGATTATTTTGTATTTCCTTCTATTTCCCTATTGCCTGTTGGTAACATGAGGTGAAGAGTAGGCAGAGTTAAGTGAACACAGGCGTCTCTGCCTCTGTGGGGCAGCGAGTACAGAGGGGAGCCCCACCTCCCACGTGGCCAGTACTTCAGCGCTGGCTAGTGATCATGTGGGTGAGGGTGCCTCGTAGTGTAATCGCTTTGGTGTGCATGTAATCAATGCCCCCTGCTTCCCTGAGACAAATGGTTTTTGGCGGCAAGGATGCAGCCTCTGTTGACTGCAAGCCAGGAGACCCAGCTCGCCCCTGGTGACTCCCCCAGTTTCTGCAGGCTCCTTCCTGGCTGCCCTGGCCCTGCGTGTCCTCCACTCCCTGGTTCCTGCTGGTTCATCCTGACTTGGCCTTGTTGGAGAGGGGAGAATTTCCCCCTTTTCCCCTTCTGGTTCTTGTGGCTGGTCAAATAAGTAAAATGACCGAAGGCAGGTTAGCAGGAGAAAATCAAACCAAGTTTAATACCTGCACACAAGGAATTCATGTTAGCGTGAAGAATCCCAAAGGGAGTCAGGCTGAGTGAGGTACATATGTCTTTCTGGAGCAAGAAGAACGAAACAGAGGTCCAAGACAAAGGGGAAGGAGGCCATTTACAGGAAGATGAAAACAGTTAATATTTGGTAAACAAATGTTTGCTGGGCCATTTGTAGACAATGGGACCCACGAGAGAGCTTCAGTAAAATGGGCCCTGCTGGGTGCCTTCCTGTCTACCGCACCTGGAGTTATCTATGGCGCTGGCTCCCTCCGGGGACAGGCCTTCTATCTTAAATTCTTTCAGGCAATTTGTGGGAGGTCAAACATTCTTCCTGAGTCTTCTGAGCCTTGATTGTCTTCAGCTCAAAATAATTCACATGGCAGAGTGGTGCATCCCGGGGAAGCTGCCCTGAACCCCATCAGCCTCCATGGCTAGACCCCCAGCTGGCTTTCCTTCTGGGCCCTTAAACAGATGGCATCTTGGGAGGCCCTGTGAGCGCCAGGCCCAGGACCCCCTGCTCTGCAGCCTGACCGGTGTCCCTCAGCCCCTCTCTCCCCTCATCACTGCCTCTTACCTGTGCTGAGCCTCCCAGATTACAGGGGTGACTGCCACCACAGGGTTATTGCCAACCCTGTCCTCTGTTGTCAGAAATGCAGTCAGATAAAGGATCCCTCACACACACTTAAGTTGGAGGCCTTCTTTTGTTCTGATGGTACTTATTGGGCCCTGTTCCTTGGAATTTCTAATCTCTATCTAAGTGGATCAACGTGATAAACACTAAGGAAGATCAGATTCGAGCCCCTTCAGGCTCTTCTTGATGACAAGATGGATTTATCCAAAACTATCATGGTTAAAAAAAGGGGGGACATTTTTGTGCCAATAAAATACAATAAAGGAAGAAATATTTTAGGAAAATTCAATGTTCATTCTCATTTGAATTCTAATCATTGTACTCAGTTTGGGAGAAACATAGTATTTTTCTTCTGAAAAGAAAATAGAAAAGTCTATATTTCAATCAATTACTTTTAAAGTTTTCAGAATGAGAAGAGATACTATATTTAAATCGGTAAATTTATCTCCAGCTTGTCTATATGTTCAGTAAACGACAACTGAATTTATTCACCACGGTCGGGTAAAATCATTTTTCCCACCAGGATTTACAAGCCTCAGGATTTTCTATCAGTGGAAACCATTTTAATTCTCTATTTTGCTGCAGCTCGTAATGAAGCAAGATATCAACCTTAATGAATTTTATTTGCATGTTAATTAAGTTTAAAACAGCCCATTTTAATTATCTTTTACTTGCTAATTCTTTGTTTTTGATTGAGTTTTATTTTTTCCCCCTACGATAGCCTGCAGCATTCACAAAGGAGTTGCAAATTGAGACTGAGTTATTGAAGGCTGTCCAGTGTTTCCATTGTTTTAACATCTCTCATTTGGTGTGGATCAGGCTGTGAATGATGACTACACAAGTGATCTGAACACAAATAACTAGACTGACAAGTAAAGTACTTAGAGTCAGAAACCTGTCAACGTTAGGTCTTCCCCCTGCAAGCCTGGGACCCTCATAGCTAAAGGAGCAGGAAATAGTCATCTCTAAGGAGATCACTCACTGCTTTAGCATCTCTGATCTAGGGTGGGGTCAGGGGTGGGGTTGTGTTAATAACCCCAGTGCATGGTGGAGGGCAGAGAGGTGAAGGGGCAGAGTAACTCGTCCATTCTCCTGAAGGGAGAGGAGCCAGCATTCCCTGGGTGTGGATGCCACTGGCAACACACTCTCCTCACCTGAGGATGGACTGCAGAGTCATCATTGCTATCAGTAGGGACTCACTCCTTATTCCTTAGTAGAAGGAATTCAGTTTGTCCATGAGAGATTTCATAGCTCAGAGAGAATAATCCAGAATTACCTGGCAGCCGTAACAATGCTTCAGTGACAGCCCCTGCAATGCTCTGATGGGAGTGAATGTTTCTCTTTCTTTATCCACAATTTCCATGCACAGGATACAGGTAGAGCTGTAATTTTAGTATTTCTCTTTAAATAACGTGCACGGTCTTTCGTCATAAGTACTGTCTTAATCAAGCAGTCTCTGGGCACTATTAACATGTGAAATCATCTCAGGGCTGAACATGAGGCAGCGCGTGTGGAATGCAGAGGGGCTCGCTGGAGCAACAGCGTCTTCTATGTCAGTGAGACTTTCTTAGGCACTTGTTTACATCAACAACAAAAGAGGAAAAGGGAAAAAAACTCTTTTTACGAGGATTTCACAGCACCGTAGGGGAGGCAGAACTATTCTTCTCCCCTCTGGGTCCTTCTGGCTGATCTAAGAATTAAACTGACACCACATGGAATAACAGGAGAAAATCAAACAGTTTACTAACATGTATGCATGGGAAAGACCCAGGAAAACTGAGTAACTTGCCAAAATGTCTGAAACCACTACCTTAAATAGCACTTTCAGCTAAAGATGAAGGAGGATGTTGGGGGTGGGGGTTTGGGACTTCAAAGGGGCAGAAGGCAATTCATACAGAGATGGAAAAGCAAATGCTTGGTCAACAAATGTTTACCAGGCCTTGCAGAGACAATGGGGTATGGAGAGGACTTGACTAAATGGGCCTTGCTGAGTTCCTCCCTGTCTACCACACCCTAGTTTATATGACACTGTAAGTGTCTCTCTGACAGCTCCTTCCTGGAACAAGCTTTCTAGGTTAAATTCTTTTAGGCAGTTGGGGGAAAGGTCAAAGTTTCTTCCTGAGTCTTTCTTCTTAAAAATAATCAAGCCAAAGAGACGTATTTTGGGGTGGCATATTCTGATCCCCCATAGCACCTTCTGGAGCCAATGCATGGTTTTCTATAATTCTCTTTTACCTGCCGAAAAGGGTAAAATCTTCTATTCTGGCTAAAAAGGGCATCTGCCCAAGTGCCTTGTCATTACCCTTGTCCC